GGGATGTGGTGAATATCCCATCTGCAAGGGTTCGATTCCAGTCGTATACAACAATTGTGGCCATTGAGTTTATCAGGGCTGATTTCTTACAGTCACAAATTGTCGGGATTAGTCTGGGATACCCTTCCAAATTATTTTTTTCTAATAGATAATCGGTCCCATATCAGAATAAGACATACAAAATAAAGTATTAACATCCAAGATAAATGATCAATGTTATCCAACCGTGTCCCTTACTGATATCTAACTTGGTAGTCCTTGTCCCTGAGATCCATGCAACTAGTCAACTATAAACTTAATGAGTTCAGGGTTTCTTGAAGCAATTACATACAAATTATGCACATAATGACTCCATAAAATAGTTTCTCAATTATAGTAGATTTTGAGAACAATAATTTGAGATCTCATATGTGTCATATGATATGGTCGCTAATCTACCAATGGTACGAGCGGATGCTACCCAACCCTTATGCCCTGATCCTTGCAACTAACACCCGTCTGCTTAGTAGCGAGACCGTATATACCACCAAAATATTTAAAACATGTGCAACTTTCCATAACAAGCATGCGTTAAGAAATAATCATTTAGCATTCGTGTCTCCTACTTACTCCACATACACGTAAACACACATATACATTAATGCATAAAATACGGTTTATACATAACATGCATCCCGTGGTAAAGCACAAAAAACTCACCTCGTAGCTTTGGATAAATCTGAAATCAATCTTGGATTATTCATGCTCCCTTTTATAACCTCCTACATATCTAATTGGACCTACTAGGTCAAATATCAACCATTGCATTCATTCATGGACCCCTAATCATGCATCCTAACATGATCCGATTCGTGTAAACTGGAACATCATATTCCAACACCGAACACGTTACAAAACCTAATAATTTATCCTATTTCCTGAAGGTTTTAAGGTTCATAATATTAATAAGAGTCATAGATAAACCTCTTCTAATTCCATATATTCAAGAATCTCCTCAATAGGATTTATATTCATTTTATATGATTTTTATAAAACCAGTACCTTGTTTTAGTTTAAAATTTGACCGATTCCATAGATCTCCAATTTTGCCCCGTTTAGAACTACAATCAGATGATGAAGTAACACTACTAGCAGAACACATCTCATTATTTCTAGATACGTATCACACACCTTATTTAAATAAGCCATCGATTTATGGTGAATTTTACAAACATACACACTTTTTTGATTTCTTGTTGTTTTCCAACAACTCTCACATACGGTTTTCTTTAACTTTCTTAGCCTCATGGCTTACATATCAATGAAAATTTGATTCTAAACTCCCATAAAGATTAGGCTACTAATCCCATACGAAAATAACAAGAATAGAGCAACGATTATACCTCAAGTTGGATGATATGCACCCTTAAACATTTTTTCTTCTTCACCTACAAGAACTCATTTTTTCATCACAATTTTCCTAACCATACCTCCATTGATTACCTCTTGACTAACACTCAACCACCTTACCTCTATTACTTACTAAATCTAGTATGGTGAGTGAATAGAGTTCAACAATAAAGATCCTTTGCCTCCTTAAAATAATACCACCCCTCCTTTTACTTTAAAAAAATCAAGTAAATGTTTTAAAATAACATCTTAACATTTTTAATAATAAAAATAATAATACGAAAGTGCCCCAAAAATGGGTTGTTACACCCATCCCCGATCTACATCCCATCCCTGCCCCCTCCTCGTTGGGTGAAAATGATTTCATATGCATTCCCATCCTTATCGAGGAATCTGGGATTTTTCCTCGTCTATACAATTTAATTTTTACGTATTTTTTATATATATTATGTGTGTAAATGTCAATTTTACATTTAAACGACACATAATGTTAAAACATTAATTAATCATTTTTTAGTTGGTGCATTTGTATAAAAGTAACATAGAAAATGTAGTTCAAACACAAACATGCAAATTAAAGTACTTGGTTAAAATTTTATATAATCACGTGATTATATCAACAAAAGTTTCTCATGAACAACCAAATCAATAATATAATTCATTTTACAAGTTTTCATCATGGAAGATTGATTATATACATTATATATACTCATTAGATTTCTCTTTTGATTATTATACTTTGTGTGTGTATATACATATATGTATACATATACATATACGTATACATATACATATACATATATAATGTACATAAAATTATATAGTTAATAGTCAGGGTTAGGTTCGGGTCGGGGATGAAGGGTATCTTGACCTAAGCCCAACCCCATCCCCAACCCCAACCTCGGTGTACAAATTCAGGGATTCTCCATCCTCGCCCATCCGTGGTCAACTAGGGGATTCCTCGGATTTTTTGCCGTCCCTATGTGCATCTTAGTGATGAGATGCATGCTAGCACAGATCCCAACACCATACATCTGATGACCAGTGGCTATGGGAGCATAGTATCGGAGGCTAGAAGGGTCGTCTATTTAGGTTAAGGACCACCCAAGATTCGGTTACTCTATGACCGATGATCCTAACACCAATAACAATATTGGGATATTGTATGCTGCGGGTTCTTCCATACTCATATGAATGATATCATTACTTTTGATCATCGACAAATTACATATTTTTGTCAAATGTTGAATATTTACAGGTACTTGAGTTGCAAGAAAAGCTGGCGAAGTTTAAAGGAGGACTAGCAGTGGAAGACCAGGATACCTGACTGAGTTGAAGGCTGAACGAAAGTTGAGGAAAGACTTGGGAGTCACGAAAAACTACGCAGGTTGCCCAATTAGCTCAACTAGTCCTGTTATCGAAGCACTTTAAAGCTTTTATGCAACAGTTCTCGGGTGAACCTCTTCCCCAAGTTAGATAAGGTTTTAAGTTGTAAAAACAATATTCTTTTTGATATTTGTATTAAAATATTTAGTAGTTTTCTATAATTATGGGCAGGTTTCATATTTTATACAAGAAAATAATGTATTTCAAAATTATTGATCTTAAATCAAGCATAATCACCGACGGATAAGCCGACGCAATCCTGCCATTGATTATGGATATTTTCGTCGGTAAAGATCCCTCCGAAATCCATTGGTGATAGAATCCCTCATAAATCTGTCGGTGATAGAATCACTTGGAAATTCGTCGATGACAGTAACTGCTGGTACTCCATCAATGATTCCTGGGGGAAGGTGGGATAGACGTATGCTCAGAACAAACCACAAATAAGGGCCTAATTTTTTTTTTTCCGTATATACTATATAATATATAGTAATAGTTCATAAAAATTAATGAATAAAAGAGACTGGATTTTTTTTAGTTTCTAATATAATCTACAAGAATTTATTATTATATTAAGCGCCCAAACATGTATTAGTTAATTACATTGAAGAAGAAAATATATGAAAAAAAAAACTAATTGATTGTTCATTTTATAGTATTGCTTATTGTTTATCTAATTTTTTATATACTACTAAATTTTGAAACTACTTTCTATAGACAACATTAATATATTTCCCATTATTCATCTCCCACCGATTCTTTTGATAATTCGATCTGTACAATTTTATTTTTGTATTAGAATATAAAAAATTTCCTATTATTAACTAAGAAAAGTCATACATTTAAAAAAAAATCTACCAACTATATAAGACGCTCCAACTTATATCTATACATTATTGACTCCTTCTTACCTAATGTTGAGTATATAAATTTTAAGTACTTCCTGGTCTCCTATTTGTAAAACAAGAATAAACCAAGATGGACTTTTGATTATAAGATTGATGATTTCTAAAAAGTTTGTTTTAACTCTAAAAGTTTAAAATGGCGATGAAAACGTTAACATGATATGATATGGAAACCTAACTGATTTACATTGACTTACATAAAGTGTTACTTTGAATTGTCAACATTGTGACCCAAAATATGTTATTCTATATACTAAAGGTATATCATAGAATGCAGAACGAATATACTTTGCTATGTAAAAGTGATATGATAGATAACAATAATTTAGAAGTAATTATTGATTGATTTTGTGTCTAGGAATATTAAAAAAAACAATTTTATATGAATTATTAGTATTTTTGGAACTCAATGTTATTTCATAATATTGAAGTTTTTTTCATACTTATCGAGGGCCTTTTTCACCCAGGCCTGTGAAATGTCAGGAATGGGCTTGCGGCAGCTACCGTCATTATTTCCTATTGTCAGTAATCCGTCAGTGACAAACCGTCGGTGATCCATTAGTGAATAAAGCCAGTGATTATAACCATCAGTGATAGTTATCGGTGAACCATTGGTGATGCCTTCACATATAAAAGTTTCCCGACAGACTTTTATCGACAGATAACCGATGGTTTAATTTGTTTTTACCAATGGATTGGTCCGTCGGTGAAGCCCTTCAAAACTGTAGTGTTATAGCATCAGTAACTAAGAAAACAAAATACGTAGAAAAATAACCCAAATTAAACATTTTTGTCGATCGACTCTTGTATCTCTTGCTTCATTTCAAACACAATCTTGCAAGTTTAGCGACTTTATTCATTTCAAATTTGTGTTCCCCAACACTATCCTCCGGTGGTGGAACCACGTTAAAATATCGTGACCTATTTACATGATCTTTCGTTATTTATTAATTACATATTGCATTATTGTCATCTCGATATCTTGATTGAAGTCCGTTGTTGATAAATCTCACACCTTTATTGTTGCTATTACTTAAAGTTTGCAACTTTGATTTATTCGTCAAACGCCCGTGTTACAGATATTAATTGACAATTATTTACGAGACCTTACGTCAACAATTTTAGATTCCCTTACTAATTTACAACACGATATATATAACTTCATGGTAATTCAAAATGTTCACGTTGTACAGTAGCCATTTACCACAAAATTCGATTCCATGGTAGAAAGATGGAGTTGATGATGAACTCGAAACGAGTAGATCCTTTTTCTTTTCTATCGGAAAATAATGCGAAAAGTCGATGAAACATGGCTTATAATATTCAAGGTCAAATCATTTCGATAAAACATATTCAAACTAATACACTTTGCTGGAAAGATGATAGCTTAGTACTTAGCACCATATATATTGTTCATATCCATAAAATTGACATGATCAATCGATTATAAGATTGAACAATTATATATGGTTATCGTGGAGATTTTAACGACTCGACTTGTGATTTTCCGTGAAGACCATTTAACCTGATGAAAGTGCGATACTCGTTAAATGTCATGGGTGGATATAGAGCAGGCTCCTCGTTTGTTATTAGCTGCTTCGCGGGTTGAATGAGAATGTCTCCCTTCGGGTTGTAGAAGAAAGCCAAGGAGACTCGCTCTTCATTCGAATTAACGATCACACGATGCTCTACGCTCCTGTACTTCGCATTGCTTATCACCTTCAATTTTTCATAACCAAAGAACAAAATAAACAACACTAATAAACAAAGTGCCCGATATTTTAACACAATGAGAAGTAGAACTCTATATTTATAGTGTGTGTCTATACACACACATGTGTGTGTGTGTGAGAGAGAGAGAGAGAGAGAGAGGAGAGAGAGAGGAGACCTGAAGTTGATCAGCAAGGTTAATGATGAAAGCATTAGAGATTGGTTTAACTGTGACCCAAGCATCATCTTTGCGGACTTGTAAGCCAGAAACATGATCATCGGGCAACAAGATCGTAATACCACCTGGATCGGAATGCGGTGAGATCCCCAACGTCAAATCGGGTTGTGGACACTTTGGGTAAAAGTTAACCCTTAACGAAGCCCCAATTTCGTCCCCTCCAAATGCTTTTTCAAGATAATCCTCCTCTAATCCAAGGTTCAAAGAAAAAAGTCTCATCAATTTGCCACAAAGTTTCATGACTTCTTCATTGTACTCACCCACCACTTCCCTACACATCAAATCCAAAGATCACACAAAAAATGGTCAAGGAGTTGAAACTTTTCAAGATAGTTGATAAATCATGAGAATTTGTTAATTGTTGTTTCAATTTGTATTGTTCCATCAAATAGATACAAAAGAGATGAGGGATTACGCTTTCCTGTCACAAAACTTTTAGGGTAACGTAAATTATATCGTCTTTCTTGCAAAATTGAAAAACTTCAGATAACGTTCGCATGCACTACAACAAAATTAGGTTTATAGGACACGCCCAATCTCTAAGCGTCCCAATAGACCGCTTTATAAGACTTAATTTATAGGACCAAAATATAAAACGTCTTATCTAAAGGTGTTGTAATAAGTTTATATGACACTTTTGGGCGTCTTAACAAGTTTTTTAGGACATTTTTAATACAAAACGTCGCATTAGCAACTTTATAGGACACTTTTGAGAAAATTGTCCTATAAACTAAATTTTTTTATAGGACATTTGTTTTTATAGGACGGTTTTTCAAATAGTGTCGTATAAAGTTGCTAATGAGATTCTTTATATTAAAAGTGTCGTAAAAAACTTATTACGACGTCAAAAAACATCATATAAACTTATTACAACGCTTTTAGATAAGAAACTCTATATTTTTGGTCCTATAAACCAAGTCTTATAAAAAGGTCTATTAGGATGCTTATAAATTAAAAGTGTCCTATAAACCCGATTTTATTGTAATGATGAAAATCATGACGCATCTAAAAAAATATCTATAAAGAAGTCATTCTTTAAATACCCACACAACACCATATCGAATAAGTTGACCAGGTAACCTTATCTATGGACCACTAAAAGTGCGGACTTTTGTATCCCAAAAACATGTGTACTTAATTTGTATTGAAAAGCTAAAGTCAATAAAGATCAAATCTTGTACAAAGTTGAATAATATCTGTATTTATATCACATTGAAATTGTGTACCTATATAAAATATTACCCTATAAACGACCTTGACCCTAACTATAACTTTATGTGACACTAGGTTTTATCTACATTTAAATTACAAACAACCAAGTTAATAAATATATAAGTTCACGTGGAAAGACTTTTGATATGGATAATACACATGTTAATTGAATATGTCTTCTGCTATCTTTATATGACAAATTAAGAATTTATTTAATACCGACACTATAATAAAATCGGGTTTATAGGACACTTCCAAATTCTAAACGTCTTAATAGACCTTTTTATAGAACTTAGTTTATAAGACTAAAAAAATGAAGTGTTTTATCTAAAGGTGTTGTATTAAGTTTATATGACGTTTTTTGATGTCGTAATAAGTTTTTTAGAACACTTTTAATATAAAGTGTCTCATTATCAACTTTATAGGACAGTTTATTTGAAAAAACTGTTCTGTAAAAACAAGTGTCCTATAAAAAATTGAGTTTATAGGACAATTTCTTAAAAGTGTCCTGTAAAGTTGCTAATGCGACACTTTGTATTAAAAATGTTCTTAAAAACTTGTTAAGACGTTCAAAAGCGTCATATAAACGTATTATAACGCCTTTAGATAGGACGTCTTATATTTTGTCCTATAAATTAAGTCCTATAAAACGGTCTATTGGAACACTTAAAGATTGGAGGTGTCCTATAAAACCAATTTTGTTATAGTGCTGATAACACATGTTGTTTAAAGAAACGTTGGAGATATATAGTTCTAAAAACATTTTATATATAGGGTTATGTTTAGATAAAAATCTTAAAAAATATAAAAAAACATAGGAACGCTCTAGTTTTGGATTCACGTGAGACGAGTATGTTTTTGTGAGACCCGTGAGATCAATTTTTTACATTTGAAACTTCATAGCAAAATGCTGTGAAGGTAAAAGCAAGCCGAACCTTCACAACAAAAACACTGTGAATGTTACCTTCACAGTGTTTTGATGTGAAATTTCAAGTATAAAAAAGTGGTAACAATGGTCTCATGAAAACAGCCTGGTCTCACGTGATCCCAAGTCTCTCTCTCTCTCTATCTATATATATATATATATATATATATATATATATATCATGTTTAATGTCAATTCTAAGACCAATAATTTAGTTTTTTAAAACGGAAAATTTAAGCAAAATGAAATATACTTTCTTTTTATTTTTATATTTGGAAATTTATCTTAAAATATGTATATCTAAAACTAGACATGTCAAAGAAGAAATATAAATTTAGTTTGAAAATATAATACATTTTTTTATTCACAAAACTACAATAAATAATCCATTCCATTTAATTACAACATTGTACGTTCAATTATATTGTATCAACGTTATTAATAAATTATTTTCAGATGAAATTTTTAAAAATATAATATATTTAATTAAAATCAAAATAATATAAATATCATTATATATTATACCATTTCCTTATGAAAAGTAGGCCATATGTATGAAGGGTGTATAAATGAAAACGGAGCCCACGATATACCAACTGTACATAGCGGGTGTCTCACTTTGACTTTTGGCGTCAAACGTCTTTTAATAATAATAATAATAATAATAATAATAATAATATATTAGATGTTAAACTTTTCAGGTGTCCTTAACTAATAGTAACATGTGACGTATACAAAATACATTTTCAACTTTTTGATATTATAAAATCTTTAAAAATATTTTAAAACTTGTTAAATATGGTGTTCATGATTTTTTAATGATATATATATATATATATATATATAGAAAAGATTTATCTTACAAACCATGTAATTCTTTATGAATCGATCACAACCATACATGTAGATAATCAACGGTATGGATTAAACCGGTTTCTAAATTTACTCTCAACCACATTTTATAACTGTGTTTTAAATTTCAAAATAAACAAAATCAATGATTGAGATTAGGGTTTATAAAATTTGTAAGAATTACTGTTAATATAAAAAGAAAAACGTTACAACTTTTAAACATTATATGCCATACAATCTATACTGCTTATAAAATTACGAAGGTGAATATATTTTAATAATTATAATGAAATAGAGATAAAATACTGTATTATAAAGATATATTAAGAAAATAAGAGATATATGATTTTAAAAGAGAATATTGTCAAAATATAAGAATACGAGGATAGCTAAATTAAAACTACATATGATTTTACATTGAAATCAGATGTGAATATTCCGCGATTTTAGCCACACCATACAGGTTGCGAGTCAAACTGTCCCACATATCTTTGCGTTGATCGTGTTACGTAATCGAACATAATTTCAATGTAAAATCATATTTAATTTGATTATTCTTATATTATTTTTATTTTGACATTATTCTTTTTTGAACTTCTCTTTATAGAATCACGACATCTGTAAAAATATTTGAAAAAGCAATTTTAAATCATAAATAATTAAAATTGGGGTAGATTTTTCTAGAAATTAACGTGGGACCAAATAAAATAGGAAAAGGAAATGAAAAGGCACATGGCAAATAGAAAAGGAGAAATTGAACTCTTTTATTTTAGGCAGTTATCCAAAACATATGGTATTAAAGCAAGTCAAACTAAAAGGAGTTAATTTACTATTCAGGATTAATAACTGACTGTCAAAAGTAATTATCACTTTCTTCTATTAAAATAGATAAATTATGGTTTGGATAATTATGGAAATATATATTAAAATTTAATTTCATCCATTTCTTAGGACCATAATATCATAAACTGTGAACGTTAATTAAACCGTGTTTAGATCATTCACATAGAGCTTATTTAAAAAATTGTATCTATACTATATTATAAAACATTTGACAAAAACTCTTAAAAACTATTTTTATATTTTTTTATGCATGAATTATTGTTTATTGATGCATATTACTTAAAAATTCAAGATTACAAGTAATTTTGCGTAAGTACAACTTATTAAAGTTTCATTTCTAAATTCGTGTAACTAATTGCAGATAAAAATAATCAAATATAGAATAAACATCTATTTTAAATATAGAAAATCTAAAATATAATTAAGATAATCATTGAGTTCTAACTGAATATTTAATTATTATCTTTATTAAAAAATTATATTATTAAACCAAAAATAAATTACTTTATTATTAAATCTAAA